CCAAGTTGGATGGACATGGAACACGGAGTGGGGTTTCCACTGTAACAATATGTGGGCCTGCCCTGCTGTTCGGGATGCAAGTTAATAGGGAACATGATGTGGTTGCGATGCTCAGTCTGCTTCTCCAGCGGCGACAAGCGAGTAGGTTGGTCCGGAGTCAATCAATTGCGAGGGAATTGTTTTAATTCAGCAGAGTATTTTGTAGGGAAATGTTTTTCTCAAATACAATAAACAAGGTGGCTGGAGGAAGTGGCATGTTTTGGTTGGTCGCTCAATGCTGTAAACACTGTGCGCACAATGTTTTGCTCAATTTTAGATAAATAACAACACAATGTCTTGGTAGGAAAATTATAGAAGGCGAGTTTAAGGTGGCTGTGCCTTTAAATTTCGGTAACTCGCTGTATGCTCCCATTTTATAGTTCATTCCGACTAAGCTATTCGAGGAAGTCTTCTATTCCCACGTCGAAAGTATTAACAAAGCACTTTTCTGCGCACTCCGCATGAATATAAATCCAGTTGCTTAGTTTTCTCCGTTTCCCGCTCAGTGGTGCTCATTATCAATGCCGTCGACGTGGAGTGGGAAATATATATTTTTATATACACATGATGAGCTCGATTTTCATTTTCTTCTCATTTTCATTTTCATTTTCGTAATAGCGCTCTGACAATTTTCATGTGAACTGGCGACGATTTTTCACCGTCACTTTGCGGTGAGCGGAGCAGGAGCAGGATGCAAGGACCTTCTGGTCGACATTCGGGGCTTTTGGGGGAACTATCCTCGCCGACTGCAAGGATTTCCCACACAACAACAGCTGGGCAGGAACTTAAGCAGGAAACAGGAAAAGCAACGTATCCAGCTTCTCTTACTTTTCGCCAACCTCTTCTTTGTACGTGACGTCTTTCTCTCGAGACGTCACTAGATTTATTGTATGCAAGTTATGTGTGTGACTGTGTGTGTTAGTATCTGTGTGTGCCTGAGCGAGTGTGGGTGATGTTTGCACTTGTGTAGGTGTAAATATGCAAATCGCTTTTTTCGACACGCTGACGACTTTTTCACAGCAACTGAAATGTGCTTAAAATTGCAAAATAGTAGTTCATTTTTATATTCCATCGAATAGTGTCCCTTTTTTCTGTTTCCCCTTTTCACCTTGACAATTGTCCTGGGGCCAGGATTGCTGCACACAGAATACAAACAGGGTTATTTCCCCCCAACGCTGTGTTTGATTTGGCTTCACCAGATTTTCCCAAATGCATCCATTTCTCATCGCTCCTCCTGTCTTTTGTTTGCATTTCGGTTTGTTCTGCCTCTTCACTGGAGTTTGAGTGCCATTATTCGCTTTGGTTTTCGGTTTATTGTCGCAAATTGTTGCCAGCTTCGTAAAATGGCAGTTAAAAAGAATCAGGCATTTCCGTGACCGTTTATCCCTTGTACTCTTTTTTCCACTGGGTACTTCTGGCCTCACTCAACTGAGTAAACCTAATGGATTATATGATTTTAATTCAGTTTTTCAAGCATTGATTAAGCTTATTTATACCACTTCGTTCTTATTAAATTAGCAGGCTCGAACTATAGAAATGTGAAAGTGTATTTAAGCAATAATAACTTCCTTATCCCTTTGGCCTCCGGTAAATTCCATTTCTAACGATTTGAGCCCTTGCTTTGGTACTAATTGAAAATTAAAAAGGTGCACATAAAAAATTAAAATTAATTTCGTGCCGTTTGACCAGAAACCATTCGACCTTATTGTTAGGCCGTTTTCGGATTTACTGCCTAACCCACACTTAATTCGCTGGATGAAGTGGGCAATTCTGCACTGGCCATTTAACTTTAAGCAGTCCTGATTAAAAAAATGCACTCTAGGCCACACCGCTGTTTTGTGGCCAAGCTCGCTAACTTTTTTCGCTAGCACAGCGCTGAACTTGAACATTTTCATTGGGGACTGCGCACAGAAGTCCTGGCAAGCAGAGCGTGTAAAATGGCCAACGAAAATTGCAGCTGCCAAGCAAACACATGCAAAAGCCGCATCCGCCACTTTCGCGAGTGCTAGTCCGGGGAACCCCAGGATCCGCACATCCGCTCTTCCCGCCCTTCGTCCTGGGATGCCTCATTTGGCGGCTCGTTGTGGCAAAGAGCTCCAAAAAAACTTCAGAGCTCAAATGGGTCGAGATTATCGCACCGTGTTTTTCACACCCAGAAAAAGATGAGAAACAACGAATATGGAAACCTTACAATAATTTAAAAAAAGATATTTCATATTTAGTAGTGTTTTTGTGTTTTTTGTTTAAATTACTGAAGAGATAAGCTTGTTCCTTATACGTTACAAAATTATAACAGCGAACTTTGATTACAAGCTTGTATTGCATTAAAAAACGTGACTGGCTGACATCAGAACGTGCATACCCTTACCCATTGCGGGGTATGGCCCGTAACAACGGCCGAGTTAGCAAAAATGTTTAAACAGCTGGTAAAATACAAAGGACAAACGGGGCGTAGTTAAATTTATGGGCGGGGTGTGGACCTGTCGCAACACAAAATCTGACGCCTAAACGCAGCTTAGCCATTAAAGCGCTTTCCAAACTTGGCCTCCGGGAGACTTTTAAGCGCCCAAAGCCGGCTAGCATTTCGCTTTCCCCTCTGGCCACTTTGCTCCATGTTTGTTTTGGCTGCGAGAACAGTGCCCCAAAGCGAGCTAATGCCGGCTAGTGTTAATTTCCCTCCAAACTACGGCGAGTAGTTTATTTTGGCCCGTTGTTTTGCCATCTACTGCATGCTTTGGGGCTACTGCGGTTGTGGATCCGAAATTCGCTTTATTGGGGATACATGTGGACATGCGAACACTCAAAGTGTCTATGTGAATTAATAATCTAACTACTGAAAAATTATGTTGGCCTTCGTGAATGAGTATCTCTATGTGATATTAAAATATGTGTTCCCCTCGCCACATTTCCCATTTCGTGGGCAGTGAACAAGCTTGAGTCATTCTGGCTGCCTTGCCCCGATCAATTTGTAATTTCCCCCCTTCGATGGAACAAAACGAGCTGCACAGTCTCGAATATTTTCCTCTTGCAGTGGAGAGGAAAAACTCCTCTCCGAATGCGAGTGAAAAACCAAATGTAAAGCAAGGCGCAGTCACAGCTTGCGACATGGCCAATGTTGTTGCTAAATTGTTAAATAAATCAAAATCCGAATCACAGGAACCAGACCCTCAAGCTAAACTGGCACGCCAAGTGCCAATTGAAGGGGAATCACCGGGCAGATTGGGTGGCTTGCCAGATGGGCGGATGGGTGGTTGCAGTGGGAGGCGAGTGTTATTGATGTGCTTTTAATTGAGGCTTGTGTGTCGTGTCTGCTGCATGTTGCTGTCAGCTCTCAGTGCCCCGATCCCCCCAATTGGCATTTGGACACCCCCTCTGGCACTGTCAGTTGTGCAGCCATTTGGCTCATAACGGAATTTTATTAGTTTTTCAGCTTTCAACACTTACCGGCAGTCGACGTGTGGACCATGCAAATGGTCAGGAGCAAAGCAGCCAGGCTGATGGACCCACGGATTCCCAGCAGATTCCCCAAATCCGTGCGCCTTCGACGACCTCGTCGCTGTTGGTTATTATTGCATTTTTTCCCAGACATTTGCAGAGCTGTTCCGGAATCCTTCCTCCGATGAAATTCGAGGCGGACACTCGGCTGGAATGCCTCCGAATGCTTCCCTGTTCTGTGGATTCTGCTCCTGCAAGGCCAGATGGAAGCGAAATTGGTAATTAATAGTTAAATTTTAATTATTAAAGTCGAGTTTATTGGCTAAATGCCACGCATTGCCAAAGTTTTATGGATTTTCCGTAATTTATGCAAAGTCTGCTGCATCAGCCAGAAACTTTCAGTATGAAAAATGTCTGACCAATTTGCTATAAGTTTCTGGCGAAAGTTTACAAGGAAAAGGAAGAGTTCATGGGTCAAGGCGACTGTTGCAAAGCGTATTAATTGGAAAAAGTCAATTGAAAAGTGACAACGTGCTAGTAAAACGTGATCACTGACCCCCAAATTAAAGTTGAAGAGTGAGCCCAGCATTCAAACATCACTTTTTTAAACAATGCTGCTTTTAAAGAGGATTCCTGCACTTTGAATTATTATTATATAAACTTTGTTAAAACAGCACAAAGCGCCCATTAATTTAAACGAACGAGCTTCGGCCAATCAAAACCCGCAAATTTGCATCTATCTACTTTTCGCATTCTTAACAGCGTTTGACTAACACAATAAAGATGTTAAATATTTTATGATAAGTGATTTATATCGCACATGCCATGAATATTTCATGCCAACATAATTTGGTTAACGGTTAACATTTTTAGTGGCCCGAGGTATGCGAAAAGCCTAATTTGATAAAACGCTTTAATTTCAATCGGATTGGACACGCATAAAATTACAAGAATTTGCCATTTGTCAGCCAAAAATTAGCCTGAGAATTCGGCTTTATGTAAATTAACGTAGAGCGTATTCGCCAGATACATCGTATACATCAGATAAAAAAACTATTAGTGTGCAACTGAAAACTGTGAATCGAATTCCGGCAACGAATAGAACAATGCAAAACGCTGTACGATTTGAGGCAAATTAAATATTAATTACTGTGGCGTGTGCATAAAAGTTAATTAATGTTTTTTACGCCCTAGGTGTTAATAATTAATCAGCATGGGTGTTTTTTTTGCCCCCTGGCGCCCTGTCTTTTATGTCTGGGCGTTGAAAATAGCTGTTGATTTACGGATAATAAAGCAGAGTGTAAAGTTATGCAAATAAATAAATATTTAATCAATCAGGGCGTGTGAATCAATGTGGAAGTGCAACAACCCATCAGCTGCCCATTACCCATTAAATGTTAGTTAGCTTAAGCGATTATTCGTTGGCGGGTTAAAGTTAACCATGGGTCATCCCCCAACAAATATGTATATATTTACTCATCACATGCTCCGAGAATTCAATGTGTCGTTTGACTATAGAATTAACATGGCTATGTTTCATTTCATTATTCAACTGCTCTCGGCACACATACCTTTTTGCTCCCAAAAATTTTATTTGTCCAAAACATAGATATTAAATTAGTGGTGTCGAAATTGGCGAAATTGTAAATATGTCTAGGAACTACGGTAGGTTGGAACCTTAATCTCCCATCAACAATACGCACATCCTGTCTGTATGTTTTCAGGACCTGGACCTGGAGCCTATATGCTGCCCAGCAGTTTTGGACAAAAAGGACCGCAGTTCTCCTTCGGCCGCAGAATAGATCGCAATAGAGATGTAAAACCTGGACCGGGTCCGGCTGCCTATAAGGTGGATAAGGTGACTCGCTACGGAAACTCGGAGGGTCCACAGTTCTCCATGTACGTTAGGAACTCGAAGATGAAGCCCCTTCCCATCCGGTTCTCCTAGAGATTCAATCTTGACTCGTAGTTAGTGATCAAGAAAAATCTAATAAGCTATTCGATACTCAATTTTGTAATGCAAGTGGTGGTAAAATAGGTAGTTGAATGAATAAATATTTATACTAAGACTTTGAAGACTGCGCATATCCTTCAGCTGGCTGTCCACTCAATTCGCCCGCATTGCATTTCCAATTTGCCCCAATTAATGCCCAAGACATTGATGCACAATTTCCTTTCAAATCGATGCCATGGCAACGGTATTGCTAATCGCCCTTAACTCTGCAATTAATTCGACGACACATTCAATTCGAATGTATTTGTGGGATTGGAAATTGACGACGGGAGTGGGGAACCGGGAAATGGTCATGATGACAGTCTGTGGTGGCTGGTGGCACGAGAATTGATACACAATGCGGCGACAACCACTTGTTGGACCTGCTGAAAGAGCCTTTGGCCAGGACACTTCACTACACTTCACTTCAGGGCGAGGGCTTAGATGAGGGCACTTCGGCTGTTTGTGTGCCCGAGCGGAGGACAGTTGGACAGTTGGACTGGAGGACTGGTGGAACTGTAGGAACTGTAATGAAGCCGCCGGCCGAGCTCTTAAGTAACTCACTTTGCAGTCCAGTCCAGGCCAGTCGTCCACTGAGTGACTGAACCGCGCCAAAGGAGCAGCTTCTGGCATCTAAGCGAAAGCCTGTTATTTTCCCGCTGCCTGTAATAATCACACAGTAAACAGGCAGTGGTCCGAACGACTGGGGGATGGGCTGGTTACACTGAGAAATATTTATTTTCTAAGATACAAGAAAACCTCCAAAATGAAGTAGTATCCAAGCTAAAATCAGTTGCCCTGCTTTTCTCTCCCTGTACTGAACTTGGGCGTGGGAATGGCCAACAGAAAGCCAAAGAAAGGAAAGGGCTTTGGACTAACTGAGTCCGCAAGAAGAGAGGCCCCTCCTGCTCCTGCTCCTGCTCCTGCTCCTGCTCCTTCTCCCATCTGGCCAGTTGTAATTGCAACGTCAACGTAAATGCATGGCACATGCAGCAGCGACTCAGGAATTTCACGGATGTGCGATGTGCGTGCATTTTGCAGATGCTCGAGCTGACCGCCGCCTGGACATCACGTATTCGCACAGACAACGGACCGCATTTGATTGCATTTTCGCTGCTCCAGGACGCGGATGAGCCCGGGGGCAGGAGGAGTAGCTCGGGAACTCTGGCACTTGGGAACTGGAAGCCCTGCCCTCGATCCACTCCTCCTGCCCAAGATTTATCTGTGCGCGTTTATTTTAATGTTACGTTCTGGCATCTTTGCTCAATTTTGCCTGCCGCATACCCTTTATCAAAGGTATTCTACCTGGTGGCCGGCATCCATTTCTTCTCTTCATTCAGGACCAACTAAATATTGAAATATCGATGCGATATCAGAAATTGAAATATAAATAGCATCTTTTGAACAATAGCAACTATCTCAAGAGGTTTTATTGAGATTTATTCATAACATGTATATAAGAGATGCCATTTTCTTTGCAGCCTAATTAAAATGTCAATCTTCCTGAATTTAAGCTACTGACTGCATGTCCAACTACACTCGTTTCAAGTGCATCTAATCTTCGCGAGACGGACGTCTGCCTGGGTTTTTGGTCCGCTTAAGCAGCCTCTTTCGATGCATTGCCCATTGGCTGGATGTCTTTGTGTTTATGGAGCCATGTCCGCAGGTTGCCATCTTCATCTGGCCATCAGCAGCACCAGCACCAGCACCATCATCATCATCAACCGAATCACCAGAAGCAGAAGCAGAAGCTGCATCCTCGATGGCGTGCCATTCCTGAACGTGGTACGTTGACCGCTCGGAATGTTGATTCATCTTCTTGGGCATAACTGCTGCCAGTTTGCACGGACTACTCTCTGTTTTATTTTCCTATTTTCACAACTCCACTTGCTCTTTTATGTCAATCAGCAGTTTGGCATCCAGCTCCTTGGCCGGCTGCTACGCGTTTATGGGCCATCATCGTGGCGTATCGGGCCGGTTGGAAAATGGTTGCGTCTATTTTTAGTGGAGCACATGCGTCGCTTTCGCCTGCTCTATTCTATTCCTGACCACCAGCCGCCGCCACTCGACTCGTTCAGTATGTTAGATCCCCAGGCGGGTCTCTATTATTCCCATAATAAGCGAAGATTGCCCTTAAGTGGCTGGCGGGGATTGAGTGGCTGGCGCGTACTCGCAATGCATTCTTCTTTATTTTTAGCACGATCTCGGCCTGTCTGGCCTGTTACATGAATAATTGCCAGTTAGCTTTCCAGGCCCACATGATCGCCGGGGATCGTATATGGGCATAGAACTTAATTGCATTTAAATGCCGGCAGGTGTGGTTGCTGCACAAAGTCGGTCCATGAAATTCTGGCAAATTAAATGCTTCCGAGGTAACAACTACATTAAATCACAGTGCATTTCATTAGAACCAATTATTGTGGGGAATTATTTTAAAATGCATTGACATTCTACGAAGTGAAAGGATATCAAGCTATTTCTTGAATTCGCAGTGAACCTAAAATGCTCTTCAAAAAGATTTTATGCAAAATGAAAAGAGGAAGCCTGACTTGATTATTTTTAATGTTGTTCTGCGGAACGTTTTGCTTGGGAACCTTTGGCTTCCAAGAAGAAGATGTGATGTTTTAATATTAATTTGGCAAAATTCAGGGAAACCACGCACGACTTGCCAGCCCTTGCTTTATATTCGTCCCACCGGAATCCAAACGGCTGACTGTCATTAGCAATTCGGGCAATCAATGAAACACTTTTGGCCAAACAAAACGTATTCGTAACAAAAGATAATGTTAATTTGACAGCCCCCGGCAATTGATTCCCAACCAACTGACAAACGCACAGACCCGCTGATTGAAGGGTCATTACAGGGTTAAAGGAAGTCGGAGCAGCGGTGACCTCACACGCATTTGGATTTATTTATGCCATTTCCGATTTTAATTGATATTACTGAATTGGGCTGTTGTGCTTGGTATAACCTCCCCTTGGTAAGCCATAATCGACCCTGTTCCACGCACGTGACTTGTTTAAGTGATGGCTTAAAATGTAATTTCGCCTATTTAATGTGCCTGCCAAAATCGGGGAAAATTGCGAGTTAATCACAGCAAATAAAACCATTAATATGAAATCATTTAATTTCGTTGGCTGACCCAGTTAGCTTCTGGAAACATCGAGAACTTCCTGGCCAAAAAATTCATTTTTGTCATACTCGCTTTATTCAGCTTTTTTGCGATAACTTAAACGCTTACCTTAACTTTGCTCATTCAAAGTGATCCTCATTAAGCTGCAGTAAGTCATCGTCGGTCAGCTTAAGCTAAGCTATCGCATTAAAAGTTTTCAGGAATTTAAGACCATTTAATGTGAGTCAAAAAGTCAATAAACCCAAGCGCTCGATTTCTTCCTGCTGCTCAGCGAAAAATGTACCAAAAAACAAAAGACAAAAGACAAGAAAACAAAAGTGGAGCAACAAAAACCTGTCACGTTCGACAAAAGTGCATTCACATTTCGGAATTCAAAGCGGGAGAGCGAACTTTTAATGTATCTTCGATGAAGCATCCACCCTTGTTCCGCCGCCACATTCAGATACATTTCTATCTTAAAGCCGCATCCCGGCAACTTTCGTTGTTGGCCCAACACCAATTCGGCCAATTGCTTTATTGCGTTGAGGTTTTCTGGCTTTGGGTCTGAATCTCGGTCTGGGTCTGGGTTTTCTTGGCCACCTCCCTTCCTTTGGGGTCCTTTCTCGGTTGTCTGGCTGCTGTCGTCTGTCATCAGGTGAAAGGCAAATAAAACGTCAATTTGTGTCGCCAGTTGTGTCCTTTTCATATTATTCATATGCACATTACACATTCTGAATTTATTCATGCCGTCGAAGCAGCCTTTTTGTGTCAATAATCATTTACATGTTTATCTAATTTGGGCGGCATTTCCCGTCGCAGTCTTATGGCCGCAGCTTCAACTTGAACTTGGGGTGAAATTGTGATTCGTGGGAATTCAATTATAGGCAGCCAATGTGGGCCACGGCACAGATACACAGATTTCGGACTTCAGATACTTTCGCAATGCGCTACTTTTTGGGTTCCGGACGCCGCTTCCTCTGAACTTGTTGCCAGGCCAAAAAACGAGTTGATGGCCAAGCCGCAAAAATGTGCAGTGCAAGTTGTAAAGCGGCCAATAACTAAAATACACAAAAAAAAAACCCAAATACGAAACAAAATCAACCGACCCAATGCCAACGAAACGAGCAACTTTGTTGCCGCCTGTCATCGACGGCAGAGCAAGTGTTATGGCAGCAATTATTGTGGTTTCCGTATGCGAATTTCATTTTGACAGCCCAAAGGACGAGGCTCGCAGGATGTGTGCGGAATTTCCTGAATAATTCTTGACGGGCAGGGCAGGATGCACACTGCGCTTGGAATCGATAAAGTTTGTTTCACAGCACTGGTGGGGGAAGGTAAAATAGATAAAGCCATGGGGTGTGTGACAGGACACAAGCCATTTTGAAGGACACAATTTAAAAAATCTGTTAAAATATGGGAGAATATATAGCAATTGCTACAATCCTAGGAGACGCGTATAAGGTATTGTATATGGTATAACTATTATAGGCTACTCAGTTCTTATAGTTAAATTGGATGTTTGTGCTGCTGCCATAGAAATAATAACCAAAGCTAATGCGGAACACGCTGAAATGGCTAACTAATATAACCAATGAGGTACAACTTCCGGGCTCCCCTTCTTCCTTAGTTGGCTTCGACTATTTGACGTTACTACCCCTTAGCTGAAGACAATGACTCCATTTCGGAGCACGCCTGTGTCAGCGCCACGTTCCATTCTCGACATTTTGTTTAAAATGTGTGCTCTGCATTTTGCGACTAGCCGCCACATCGCCATCCGGGGGCTCCAAAAGCCAAGAGCCAAGAGCCAAGAGCGGCGGCAAGTTGGCAAGACGAAAGGCCAAGAGGGCTGTCCAATTTGGCTTACATGTGCCAGCCGAATCCGTGGGTCGTTCACTTCGTCTTCAGTTCGGGGCGGGCTGTCTAAACGCCTTCAAATTCGCGCTGATTTGACACAAAAATGTGA